TCACGACTCCTCCAGCAGAGACCCGGGTCAGTCACTGCCAGGGCAAGAGCCTTTCTGCAGCACCCTCCTCCCCTGCCCAGATCCTTGCTGGGGGGACTGGGCAGCTCCGAAAGGTGCTGGAGGGAGGAAGATGCTGTTGGCTCAGGCATGCCCTGCATGGTGTGGGATTAATGAGAGGGAAGCTGAGGGTATCCCCTTCCTTTGCTGACATGATCAGCACCTCCCTGGGCCCCCCCTGGGTTCCATCTCTGTCCCCAGTGCCCCTTCACCCCCTACAGCCAGGCCCCATCAGGACCACTGGACTTGATGGGAGCCACAGTCCAGCCATGCTTGATGCAGGGTGAAGACCTGTCTCAGGCCATGGTGTTGGGGTTAGAGGCTGATCCCTGATCCAAGAGACTGGCGCCCTCCTGCACCACCTCAAAACCCTCTGGGCCCAGCAGGTGCTCCAATCACCAGGGAGTCACAAGTGACTGCATGCAGCAGGTCCCCATCTTGCTCCAAGCAGGCATGGATGTGCTGCGGGCATCCCTGCTCCACTGGCAGCACTGATGCCCAGGACATTCCTTCCCCTTGAGCCCCCAGGCCATGTACGCCCTCTCCCCATGGCTATCCTTGTCCCCTCTTCCATGGGTATCCCCTGCCCTCCTCACTGACATCTCCTGCCCCTATGGATGTTCCTACTCCAAGGACTTCCCCACCTGTGGAGGTTTGACCCCAGCTGGCAAATCAGTCCCCCTCAGCTGCTCATTCACACCCCACCTACCTCGGCCCCCTGGCTGGTACACTGGGCATGGTGTTCCATAGCATGGAATATCCCTTTGGCCAGTCTGGGTCAGCTCTCCTGGCCGTGCCCCCACCCAGCTTCTTGTGCACCTGCTCCCTGCCAGAGCACAGGACACCAAAAAGTTCCTTTGTTCCTCCAGAAATATGGATGTTTTCTGCCCTGTGTAGCTCCATGTCTTTAGGGTGCACAGTGTGGGACAGAGGATAGAGGCAGGGCCCTTCTAGTCCTGGTCGTTGGGTTTGCCACTCTCTTCTTGTAGAAATGGAATCACAGAACACCCTGAGCTGGAATGGCACTGCACAGGACACCCCTAGGGACACACCATGGGCCTGGAGCATTGTCCGAACACTTCTTGAACTCTGTCAGGGCTTGGTGCTGTAACCACTTCCCTGGGGAGCTGTTCCAGAGCCCATCAACCCCTCTGAGTGAAAAACCTTTTCAACCTAAATCTCCCCTGATGCAGCTTCATGCTTGCCATAGGACTGGGAATACTGTACCCTCTGACTCTGCCTGGGGAACTACCCACACTTGGCAGCAAATACTCTGGAAGAACTCTCATTTGTGATTGTATTCCTTTGCAATTCCCATCCCTGTCTTTCTATGGTCAAGGTAGGTTTTCCTTCCCACATTCTTGAGTCCTCTCCATACTATCACAGGTAAAACCACCAGGTACCCCTATCTCCTCCCTCTTCCCTAAAAGGATACCTACTGTTACCAGCCCAGGGGAATGGAGAGCTTCCAAAGATGGAAGGCAGGAAGGAATTACAGACGTGGATGCCTCATCCCTAGGAATGTTCAGGGGCAGGCTGAATAGGACTTTGAGCGACCTGGTCTAGTGGAAGATGCTCCAGTCCATAGCAGGGGGCTTGGAATGAGGTGAGCTTTAAGATCCCTCCCAATCCAAACCTTTCTATGACTGATTCTGTGAAAGAAGGCAGATGTAGGAAAATGTTTCTGCCATAGTTTGGCTCTCTAAGGAAAAAGGCCAAAGGTGCAGTTATGAACAGTTCCCAACAGATGGCTCCAAAAATACAGAGGGAATGGCAGTGCTGAGTGCTTGTATCAGATTTGTCTCACAAAAGGAGATTCTGTTGTACCAATGGATCCATGGGCCAGGGCCAATTGTGTGAGGTTCAACCAGGCCAAGTGCTGGGTCCTGTCCCAGGGTCACAACAACCCCCTGCAGCTCCAGGCTGGGACAGTGGCTGGAAAACTGCCCAGTGGGAAAGGCCCTGGGGGTGCTGGTCAGCAGTGGCTGAACATGAGCCAGGGTGTGCCCAGGGGGCCAAGAGGGCCAAGGACATCCTGAATGTATCAGCAATGGTGTGGCCAGCAGGACCAGGGCAGTGACTGCCCCTCTGTGCTGGGCACTGCTGAGGCCACACTGCAAGTGCTGTGTCCAGCTCTGGGGCCCTCAGTAAAAGCCACAAAAGACACTGGGATGCTGGAGTGAATCCAGAGAAGAGCAAGGAGATAGGGAAGGATCTGGAGCACAAGTCCTGTGAGGAGCAGCTGAGGGAGCTGGGGGTGTTTATTCTGGACCTGATCACTCTCTACAGGGACTTGAAAGGAGGGTGTAGTCAGTCTCTTCTTCCAAACGGCCAGTTTAAGTTGGTTATTAGGATGAATTTCTTCATGGAAGGTGTTGTCAAGCATTGAGGCAGGCTGCCATGGTGTGGTGCATCTGTGGGGATATTTAAAAGATATGTATCATCAAATCACAGAATGTTTAGGTTGGAAAAGACCTCCAAGGTCATCGAGTCCAACAATTTAACCAGTACTCCCAAGTCCACTACTAAACCATGTTCCTAAGCACCAGATCTGTGCATCTTCTTGGAAACTTTCAGGAATGGTGTAGATGTGGCACTTGGAGACACCTATAAACCACTGCTGCAACGAGCAGCTCACCCAGGCCCCATGGAGGATCAATGTCACCAGAGGGGACACACACCAAGCAAGGTGCTCCTTCAAGCACACACACAGGAACTTGAGTGCAGGCAGAACAACTTTGTGACCAGAAACTATTAAACTAATGCTTATAACAAACCTGGTCTAGCAAGGTCTGCTCAGATCTCTTGTTACTTCATCCTCTGGGCCCATGCTGGGCACTGAAAAGGGCTGTTGAGGTTTCACTATGTGCCATGCAGCCACTCATTCTCCCCACAGTTCATACACTGGGCATGGTGTTCCATGGCATGGAATATCCCTTTGGGCACTTTGGGTCAGCTCTCCTGGCCGTGCCCCCTCCTGCTTTCTTGTGCACCTGCTCCCTGGCAGAGCCTGGGAAACTGAGCAGTGCTTGAGCTAGGGTAAACACTGCTGAGCAACAGCTGGAACATCAGTGTGTTATCAGCATTATTCTCAACTGAATCCAAATCACAGCACCCAACCAGCTACTGGGGAGAAAATGAACTCTATCCCAGATGAAGCCACCACTTACTCCATACCTTCTACCATGCCAGGTCCCCTGCTTCCCAATACCCCATCACCCTTCCTGTCTTTTGATATCAGTCTTTAGAACCCTTCCACTGCCTAAAGAGAGCCTGTAAGAAGGATGGGGAGAGGTGTTTGATGAGACCATGTAGTGACAGGACAAAGAGTAATGCCTTCAAAGTGAAAGAGGGGGGTTTTAGATTGGATATCAGGAAGAAATTCTTCACTGTCAGGGTGTGAAGCACTGGCAGAGGTTGCTCAGAAAATCTGTGGATGCCTCATCACTGGAAGTATTCCAGGCCAGGTTTGATGGGGCTTTGAGCAACCTGGTCAAGGGGAAGGTGTCCCTGCCCATGCCATGGGGCTGGAATGAGGTGAGCTTTAAGGTCCCTTCCAGCCCAAGTCATCCTTTGACTTTGCAATGACATCATTGCCTCTGTCTGTGGACCACCCCTATAAAAGTCCCTTGAAGTTATTTAGTTCATGACCTTGGGCTTTATCTGTCCTAAGAGTCTTTCAGGGCAGGAAGGATGGTGTGTGGTGGTGTCACATGTAGAAACCAGCTCTGATTTTATCAGTGCAGGGCTTGGCTGGCTTCACCAAAGCTCATCCTTCATTAACATGGCAATCAAAGGAGAGTTGGATTTCTCATCCACAAATTCAGAGAGGCAAGGTGCCCAGTGATGGTGATGGGCATATTAGTGGCTATGGAAACTATATGCAGTGCTATGTAGCAATTAACATCATCCAGTTTAATTTATTGACTGTTCTCACCCAAAATCAAACCCTCTTGAGCCATACACTGGACTTGAGAGATGGGCACAAGGCACATTGGTTTTGCAGTCACCTCCTGTCCCTGTGCACAGCTCCTGATGGGAGCACTGTGCAAACATTCCCTGGCATCAGCAGGACTTTCCATGGGTGCCAGTAATGCCTCTGGCTCTCACCCTGCCCCAAGGCCCTTCTGAGAAGAGATGGTCACTGCTCTCTCCAGCCCTTCACTGACTATCCCACTGGCCATGTCAGCCACATCCCAGAGCCCTGAGGGGACACAGCCCCTCACCTGCACTGCTCCCAATCCTTGGCAATGTGGTCAGCACTGCTGAGGCCATGCAGGTGGGGAGCAGCCATTCTGTGACCCAACAAGGCACATATTCATTCCCTTCCCCTCATTATCAGGCCCTGAAGGTCCTGTGCAACAAGTACCAAAACAAACAGATTTCTTCTTCTCCCTGCCAGCCTCAAGGGCACCTGGCCAGGGTGGTGGTGGCAATGACCCTGGCACAGAGCCCTCTCCCTGCTGCCTGCTGGAGCCCAGCCTGGCACCTCCCATCACAACACACACTGAGAAAGTGTATTTTTCAAAATACTTCTTTATTTCTCTCAATACTGACATTACAAAAAAAAAAAGAAAAAAAAAAGAAAAAAAAGAAGAAAAAAAATTACAAAAAACCCCACTATAAAACATTCAGGTCTCGTTGAAACCGAGAAAAACAAATCAGCTTGCGTCTGCGTGCTGGCCTGTCTTCTCGCTCACCTTGTCCACCACATTTCTCCATATTGAACTCCACAGGGACCAGTGGAGGGAACCAGTGGCCACCCCTGGCTGGCCAAAGCGGGTGATTGATTCAGCAGTGCCTCACAGGTCTCCTTGACCCACAGGTAACACTGTACAGCTGCACCCCCAGCCCCACGGACACCCCACGCACAGCCCCCCCACCCCAAGGGAACTCCTGCTTCAAGTCAGTAAATATTTTTTTTTTTTTAGGAATTAAAAAAAAAAGATTCCCAGGTTGGAAGCTGGGGGGGGGATATTTGGCAGGGGTTTTCTTGGCAGTGCTGCAGCGAAAGAGGAGCTGTACAAAGCCAGGTCAAATGTGCCTCCAGCTCCACACCAGCCCTTTCCCTTTCCTGGGAAAAAAAATGGCATGAGGCAGAGTGGGCTGAGAAAGGTAAGAAATATAAAAATTCTCCTGATGGAAATCCAAAGGTTTTAAAAAAATACAGTATTTGAAAATGGAGCCACTAAGCAGACTGCCTCATGCACCTCCCAGATCCGCCCTGATGTCCAGAAACACCTCCTGAATGAATTGTCCCTGTAGAAAAATATATACACACGCCTCTCTCTTCTTATTAGAATCCCTAATTTGACCTGAAACACTAGTGAAACCCACAGCTCTGCTCACGCTTGGCTCTGCTTTTGCACCCAGATTAGTGCTACACGCACACACAACCCCACTCCGGGGGTTTGCTGTTCGTGTGGCTGAATCATCCCCCTTTCAAAAAAAGCCTGGGTGCGTCAGGCCAGTATCCCCAATACAGGCAGAGAAAAACCCTTACGAAGTTTATCTAATGAGCTCTATATATATGTATTTAAAAAATAAAAGCAGCAATGCAAACTCAACACATCTGAAAAAAGAAAGCTCCACCCTGGGCTTTCCCCCCTCCTCCTGCTGGCTGGGCCCCGTGGGCAGTAGGTGCAGGCAAGTGCTGCCCACGGGCACTGGGGACATCCCCGGGCAGGGGCAGGAGGCTGGATGGACCATCCCCACGTGCTCCGTTGTTTGGCACAGCCGAGGCTCGGTGTAGGCTTGGCACAGGAGAGCGGGCCACGGCTGGACTTGGTACCGTGGCCCCAAGGTGAGAAATTGTCCAGCTACTGGGGGGGCCACCACAGGCAGGAGTGATCGGCACCGCGGTACAGCCGGGACCCCAAACAGCAGCAAGTATCAAAGAGGGGAAGAGAAAAACCAGCAGCGGGGATGCCAGATCCTGCGGAGTCCTATTTACACAGCGCCGGACCCCGGCAAGTCCAGCTTCTTGTGGGAAGAGTGGCCTGAAAAGCAGGTGACATAAAAAACCCACGACACGACGCACCTCCCCGGGCAAAGGGCCCACAGCTCTCGCTCTTGCGAGGCAGAAAAAATGGACCTCTGGGGAGAAAGAAAAGGTTTGGCAGTCGGGGGAGCTGCGGCAGACAGGAGTCTCCCCGTTGTTGGAGTAAAAAACCGGCCAAGAAGGATGGATAGGGGGTGGGTCGGATGGGTTTTTTGGGGGAGAAAAGTAGTGTGAGGGGTTGTTTTTTTCTCTTTTTTTGCATTTAAAAGTGCTGTGACACCTTGGCTCTGTGCAGGCCAGGTGCTGTGGCACACGCGTTTGGAGTATTGCTGCTTTGGAGGAGAGTCCCTGGGCTCTAGGAGCATGGGAGGTGCTGCTTGAGGATCTGTCTCGTCTGGGGAGCTATTCTGTCCGGGAAGCGGATTTTGAACTCCACGATCAAGTCTCCTCGCTGGCTGGGGGCCTTGGGGAAGGGCAGCCCCTCCCCACGTAGTCTCTTCACTGTCCCTGGCTTGATGATGTCGTTGCAGGGGAGCGGGATCACCCGTCCATCGATGGTGGGAATGTTCACAGTGCAGCCGCACAAGGCCTGAGGAAGGAAGAGGGAACAGGCCATCAGATGGGGCTGATACCCCAAAGCATCCTGACAGGCAGGCACACCCTGTACCCCCACTGGCTGCTCCCCCGGCTGAACTGCCCTGCTCCTCTGGATGCTGCCCAAGAGCATTGGATGATGCTCACCAGTGCAAGCACAGCTCTCTGCTGGCACCAACCTGGTCCAACCACCATGAACTGGGCTGCAGGAGCCATGCAGGAGAGGGGTGCCCCAGCTCTCATGGGGGGGAAGGACTCCCCTCCCCACCTGCTGGGCTGCCCAGAAGGCACCACCAGCACCCAGCCACCCACAGCAACAACGCAGGCTAAATTTAGCTCCTTTCCAGCCCTGTCGCCCAGCCTCAGGCAGCCGAAAATCCAGCTGAGATCATGGGATGCTGCCACAGCCCATCAGCTGTCACCCTCCAGAGCACGGCAGCTTTGCCCAGTGCTTGGGGTTATCTATAGCACAGCCCATGTCCCCTGTCCTCTGCCCCATCCCTGCCACTGACAGCCCCCACAAGGCCATGCCAGCATGGCACAATGGTGTGGCTGTGGCACTGAGCTTCCCTGGGAGCTGGGGGTGCTGGAGGGGCTGGTTCCCATCTCCTATGCCCTTGCACAGCCAGGAGCCGGTGTGGGGGTGCCACCCCTCTGCACCCCAGCCCCCAGCAGCAGCCGCACACCGGCCTGCATTGGCAAGCCACGTGATGCAGGAATGCAGCAAGAAAATCCTTGTGTCCTTAAATAACTCAGACAGTTCTGTCGTACATGTGGGCAGGATCGTCTCCAGGCTTTCAGCAAGGGCTGAGCGAGAGGACTGCGGAACGATGCTTCTGGAAGGGGATGGGGGCTGGGGGGGTGCAGAGCTACAGCCTTGAGCTTCCATGTGGGGGCTGGCACAGGTCTATCCCTCTGAACTGGGTCCTGGGGGTCCCAGCCCTCCAAAACACCCTGCGAAGGGAGTGGAGAAAGATGCAATTGCTGTTTCTGGGGTAGGTGGGGGAATGTTCTGCATTCCCCCCCTCTGCCAGGAAAAGCCTCCAAAGGCAGAGCAGCAACAGGCACCAGGAGAAACACCTCATGCTGGCCACTGGCTCTGAGATGATGGATGGGGCTTCTCCAGCAGAACCAAGGCTTTGAACCAGAGTGTTTGCAGTGGGATCTGTGCCAGAGATGGTTCAGGGCCTTCGTTGAGTGGAGAACATGGGAGAAGGTCCTAGCTCCTTTGCATGGTTCATCTGCACAGGCCTCCTCCTGGAGAGGGTGTCCTCCAGGGATGAAGTCTTCAGCCTGCAGGAGGACGCCATCACCAGCTCTGTGTGAGCAGCAGGTGCTTGGCTGATCTCCAGCAGGTTGAGGGGAAAACAAAGCACAATCTCCCCACATCAAGGAGTTTGTGCATTCAGGCATGGATGCCAAAGCCCTCCTGCTCGCTGGTGCCCAGCGCAGTGTGCCATGGCTGCAAGTGCCCATGTGTGCCAAGAAAGGACACCTCCAGCCACAAAACAGAAAGGAGAACAAGAAGTCCCTGTGGGAACACGTGGATGGGGAAAGCAAGCAGAGATGTGAGCAGAAGCGGGCGGTAACAGCGAAGGCAGACAGGATCTTAATGTTTCCTTCCCAGAGCCAAGACGCAAGAATCCGAGGCGATCGCTCCTCCGCCGTATGTCCCTGTTTTTCATTCTTCTTGCTCAACTTTGCTGGCATTTGGGAAAACAGTTGCTGAAGTAACACCAGTAACCGCGGGAGCTACCCCGCATCCTAGAAAGAGGCTTGGTTTATCCCTGGGGATGAAATCACCCTGGGTTTGAGCACTGTGCTGTGTGAGCAGAGCTTTATCTAGGTCACCACTGGGTCCTCCTCCGCTCGTGGCGAAGCCGCCGGGGCGGGCGTCGCCACCGGCCGCGTCCCAGCCGGGATGAGCTGAGGCGCGGATGCTTCGAGGAGGGTGACGCCAGGTAAAGGATGCAAAGCGGGATGGTGCCAAGGGCAGGCATCAGGCAGCAGCCAGGAGGGCAGGACGCCCTGCCGGCAGCGCTGCCTCCCGGCAGAGGCAGCTGCTGGTGGAGCTGCGCGTCTCCGCCCTCCCGCAGCTTCTTGCTGCGGCACACGCCTCTGATTTTAGGAAGGAAGACAACGAGTCCCCGGAAAAGCACTCCTACATCCGTGATTCTGCAGCAGACAGGTGGCAAAACTCCTGCACTGCCCCAGCCAGGCACCTAGCAGGGCCAGGACTCAAGGGCTGGGAAGGCCCTCCAGTACCCATCACCTGCCAGCTTTCTTGATGGCACTATGTTCTCTCATGGCAGTGGCAGAGACTAAAACTCAGGCTAGAAGAGGCAGTATTGCAAGGCAGAAGGTGCAAGAAGACACCTAAGGCTACAGCCAGAGGCTGAGGAAATGGAGAAGTTGTGCTCTGTCACATACTGAGGTGGTAGCATACAGAATTGGAGGGCTCCCAGCATCTGCTCATGCTCCAGAGCACTTAAGGAACTTCTTTTCCTGGAAGAGAAATGCAGCAGAGTATCACACTGTCCTGGCAAGCAGCAGGCTGGGGATGACAGTCAGCCAGACCAGCAGCCCCATGAGGATGCCCAGCATGCTGGGTTTGTGCTGGGGGAGGTCAGAGACCAGACATTCCAGCTGAAAGAGATAAGGGATTGCCTGGACCATTAATTTTCTGCTTTGTGTCTGCATTTTGCAAATCTGCTGCCAGCATGCAGGCCTTGCTCATGGAGCTCACAGGTGTCCAACACTTCTGGTGCACTTCTCGAGCCTGTTTCTCCAGTTACTGCTCAAAAGTCAACTCCAGGCAGGAGTCCCTCCATGCTGGCCAGTGCACAGACTTGGGCTAACATGGTCTGGAAATCAGCACAGCCAGGTCAGATAAAAGGAATGAACAGCAGGAAATATCTGAGATACGGCATGCACTGCTCCATAAATAAGGCAGTGTCTCCCGAGTATTTCTGGATTGGAGATCCAGGAGAACCAGCTACTGCAGGAATAAACCTCTGTACTTTGCACTGTGAGGGAAACTCCTGAGTCTGCAATATAAGTGGAGCTGAGGCTGCTTCAGGAGTGCCCAGCTCTGCCTGCCCCATGTGCTTTTTGCCCCCAGTACACCCGGCCACAGCCTGAGCTGGGATGCAGAGCCATCATAGAGCCCTCCTGACTTCCTGGCACACTTCACAAGATCACGTTTTCCTGCCTCAGGTCTGGCCCATTGAGATTATTTCTATTCAATGCATTTGAGAACATAAATCTGCCTTCAGGAAGAAAAAAAAAAAATCAGCTCATTAAGAAGACAGACAGCGTCTACCGTCTGAAAGGAACAGCAAATGGCAGCTGCCAAAAATGTCAACGTTAAATGCAGCTGCCAGCTGGGATTTATTAAAAGGTAGTTTTACAGCAGCAGTGGCGAACAGCACATCTTGTACTGAGGTAATCTTCCCTTCCTCTCCCACCTTCGTGCAGATTGCTGGATGATCTGTTGCATCCATCTAGCCCTGCCGTGACCTCCAGGACTGGCAGCCTGGAAGTGTTGAGTTTTACTCATTGCCTGGGTATTTAATTTGTTTGGTTGCTTATCTAGGAAAGCCAGAATCAAGGAAAACACTGCTCAGGGAGGGCAAGGGATCATTTTCCTCCATGTGATCCTGCTCTCTGCCCATGGGAAGAGGCACCTGGTGCAACCCTAGGCAGTAACTAAGCCACAGCAGGCTCAGCTACAGGAAAAGCAGGAATCAGACTGATGCCACCCAACCTGGGTTTTCCCTTGCTCCTACAGCAGATATGCCCTTCATTCCACATGTGAATACCGTATGCTAAAATAGAAGAACAAGACATACGGAGAAGGGAGAAAATGGATAAAATGAGCCACCTGAATTGGCTCAAGAAGTGAGGTATGTTCATCAGGGACCGCAGCATCAGTGTCCCACACCTGGAATGGAAGTCAAGCACCTCCAAAGCCACGACCAAGTTGGCCTCTGCAGTTCCTGTCTTGCAACCTACCTGGTCTTTCCTATCCAGAGCAGGAGAAGGACTGCCTCCCATCTTGGCCCCAAAGGCCATGAACCAGTGCCACCCCACATACCATGGGATTTACTATCCGTACCCACCTCTTTAAGACTGATGTTTGCCGTGTAGATCACGTTTGTCCCGTCCCTCTTGAAGTGCGAGTGAGGCTTGTCCTTGAGGATGAAGACGATGTCTGCAGGGATGTTGTCTGGAGTGGCATCCCCTTCTTTGGGGAATGTGATTTTGGTTCCCTCCTTCCAACCCCGTTTGATGACAATGTTTAGGATCTTGTCCTCAGTCCGCATGGTCCGGCCATCAGCGTTGAGCCTTCTGCGAGTGATCTTCATCCTCTTGGTGGATCCGTGGTAGATCTCTTCCAGGGACACCTTGAGCTCGTGGATGACAGGTGGGTCCTGGACCTTCCTCCGCGTGTGCAGGGACTCCTGGTGCCGCCGGTGAACCCCATTAATGCCGTTGAAGCCGAACCGGCCAAAGGCACTGAAAGGGTCGTCGTCATCATCCATATCCATGTCTTCCTGGTCAAAGCCATTGAACATCCGGGAGCGGCTGCTGGCGAAGAAGATGTCGAAAGGGTTGGAGCCTCCGAAGAAGGATGCGAAGGTGGCATGGGGGTCTCCATGGAAGGTGTAGTGGAAGGTGTTCCCTGAGCCACCTGAAGAGCCACCTCCAGTTTTGAGACCTGGAAGACAAGGGGGAAGAGGAGACATGAATGTTCCGTGTGGGGGAATGCTCTGCAGGGACTGCACTGCCCAGGTGGGAGAATGACCTCTGCCACCTCCTTCCACCCTCTCCTGAGTGTGCATACCACCTCCAGCCCAACCACTGTGAAGGCACCATCTCCACCCATGACACACAGTTTCACTCCTACACGCTGCAAGCTCAGAATCCATTCAGGTTTTGTTCCCTCTATCCCTACTGAAGGACCTCTTTGATTCTCTCCATCCTGTTCACCTAATTTTAATTTAAAACATACCCTGATCAGTCCATCTCCATTTTTCCCCATGAGCAGGCTCTTTCCTGCCCCAATAGCCTTGTCTCTGAGACTGGATATTAGGAAAAATTTCTTCACAAAAAAGTTGGTCAGGAACAGGCTTCCTAGGGAAGTGATAGAGTCACCATTCTTGGAAGTGTTCAAAAGGTGTGTGGATGTGGCACTTAGGGACATGGCTTAGTGATGAACATGGCAGTGCTTCATTAAATGGTGTTAAGAGATCTTCTCCACCATCAATGATTCTACAGGCAGGTGGAGGTGAGCAGACCTCCAGGTTGGCATGCAGGTCCCTCACACTGGCTGTATAAAATGCCAGGTAAACTCCAGGTTTGAATCATTTAGCAACCTTTCCCATGGGAAACTCCCCTGCCAGGTCCCAGGCTGAGCCTGACGTCACTGCAACTCATCTCAAGTCCCAAAGAGTCAAGGCACATGACAAATGCCCCCCAAAGAGGTCACACATGCTCTGCAAGGCTATTTTTGATCAGCAGGGTTGGGAAGGGTTAAGCCAAGCCTAGCTCAGGGACTATTTTCAGGGCACACCAGTGACAGTGAAGGACTATTTCTGACAGGCTGTCCTTTGTCCCAACCCCCCAAGCCCTTTCCAAAGCAGGACAAGTTCGGGGGTCTCTTCTGAGTGCTGAAGTCAGTATTCTGGGTGGGCTGAAGGGGCTTTCCCACTTCATCTTGCCTACATAGCATGTGTGACCCTGAAGTTCCTCAAAATGCTGATCTTCATTGCCCAAAAAAAAAGGGAAACAAAACATGTGGGGAAGGTCATGGAACATGAGAGGTTCAGCAACGATGGGACATGGTGGAAGATGGTCTTTAACTTGATGGGGCAGCAAGGGAGCTCTTACCCTCTTCCTTAATTCACTCTTATTTTAGATGCCTGCAGGCGACAGGGATTTTGCCAAATCCCCAGTGAGCCCCACTCCTAATAGACTGTACAGCCAGGAGGTTTCACCTTTAATCCCATGACGCCAGCCTGAGCAGGCTCCGATTTCACTGAGGCCTCCCGGGAAAAGCTGGTTTCCCACTTGAGAGAGTCTCTTCTCATTTTACAGGGCAGCAAATCACTGTGCCCTGTGCATCCATCACAGCCCTGACATAACTAACGGGTCAACAATTAACCCACTGCTGCTTAATCCTGCCGGTGGCTTGTGAGGGGATGCACCTGCCCAAGAGAGGAGCTGCCTCTTCCACACAGCAGCCTGCTCCTGCCAGACCTCCTGCTCTTTTAAGCACCCAGGCCCTGGGCTGATTAATGCAGATGCTATTCAGCACTCTCCTCGAATGGGGCTGCACTCTTCCATCATCGACTAATAAGGCCGCCTGCCTTGGAGTGGCTCTCCTCCTCCTCCTCCTCCTCCATGCCAACCACCAGACAACAGCAGCCGCTTGGTTTCAAAACAAGGGCCTATTACTTAAATTGGGAAAAGCTTTGAATCCTGTAGGTCAGCTTGTACCAGGGAGGACAGTGGGACCAGTGCCCAAGTGCAGGGGGAATGTGGGCAGAAGCAGTACGTCTCTGCCGTGTTATTTAGGTCATTTAAAGAGCTGCTAACAAATTACCTTAGGTACAACCCAGGAGGTGAGCTCCTTCAATTTCTCAGCTGGCGCCCAAAGTTCTGGGGCACAGGGCAGGAGGAGCCCAGCCACCCCAGGAAGCAAGCTGACAAATTGCTGGAAAAATGAAGCAGCCTGGGGAGGAGTGGGATGAGAGGTGATTTCTGCCACCTGTGGAGCCTTCACTCTCTCTGATTCTTTGGCAACCAGTCCCATTTCAGAAGTAGGCATGAAATACCGAAACACCTCTCTGTGAAAACCCTCCCTCACCTCTAAAACAGATTTGGACCCCACATCCCTGCCTCCCAGTGGCCAGTATCTATCCCCTTACCTTCCTCCCCATACTGGTCGTACACAGCTCGTTTCTTGGGGTCACTCAGGACGTCATAAGCCTCCGCAATCTCCTTGAACTTCTCCTCAGCATTGGGGTCTTTATTCTTATCGGGGTGATATTTCAGGGCCATTTTCCGATAGGCCTTCTTGATTTCATCTTCATTAGCACCGCTCTGGATGCCCAAAATCTTGTAATAGTCCTTCCCCATGATGGCGACGCTGCTGGGAGCCGAGTACTTATTCCTGAAAGGAGAAAGACAGCTCTTCGTGAGGTGAAAATCACACAGGGGCAGCTGGGGACAGGATTGGCACACACTTGTCGCGGAGACGATGCTCCCTATGTCCCACGGGCCAGCAGCACCAGAGTCGGCTCAAGTCCACGCTTCCCAACAGAGGTCAGAGCCCTGGCGCCAGAATGTATCCCAGCTCTGGTTTTATCCCGCTGAGCCCCTTGGCTGGGATGGGCAGACTCATCTCTGAGGCTAACAGGGAGAGAGAGCTCAAGTCGGGGCACGGTGCTATTATAGGGGCCACACCACTGCTAACGTCAGGCCAGGACCACGTCCCTGTCCGTCCCCCCCCGGCTGAGTCAGGAGGGCTGAGCTATGTCCAAATGTAGCTGCCGGCCTGTGTCCACCCCCTTGCCTGGTTCTCTCCCAGCTGGGGACCTGAGACCCAAGTCAGGGTGATGACAGCGGGTTTTGGAGGCTGAAAGCAGTGGCAGGGACCACGTTGTGCCTTCACCTTAAAGGAACTTCAAACATTTTGTTCCTGAAAGCAATTGGCATTCAGCTGGAGATAAGCGCCTCCGGCTGTCAGAGCCATAATTTGTATTTAGCGGAGAGAGAACGGAGCCGTTAGACAGAAACATCTTGTGATGGTGGGAGGGCTTTTTTCTTTTTCTGTTTTAAAAAAAGACCCAACACTTTCTAGCCTGACTTGCACTCCCCAACTGGATCTTGCAGTAAGGCAGGAGCTCAGGGCTCACTCGCTGCATCGCGCGGGGGCTGAGGCCGTGCCCATGCCTATACTAAGGCATGGAAAACCCGGTGGCCGTAATTCATCCCCCAGTCACCGCTGGAGTCACAGCCATCCAGGGAGCAGCCAGGGGGATGGCAGGGCTGCTCCTCCAGGCAAAAGCTAACAGGTCCCATGCCTCTCCACGGATGTTTCCCACTGCTTCTTGACTTTTGGTTATCTGACAGCAAACACTTGACACCAGGAACCACAGGGTCTGGCCTGGCCCCTCTCACACTCAGTGCTGCCCCTGCAGACCTGCACTCCCACTGCTCACATCCTGCTCCCTGCTACAGTCAAAGTTTCACCCTATACTTGCTCCAAAGACACCTGAGCCACCCCAATCCACTGTGCCCCTCCAGCAGAGGGATTATGGAATGGGGTGTGAGTTTTGGCCCTTTCCTTCACCATCATACAAACTACCAGATGTTCTCCTCACCCTTACTCTCTATCCATGAGCTCCCATTGGAGGTCACAGAGGGACCTCCCAACCATCACAGCTCAATCAAGGGTGGCTATGCTCCCCAAGGATCCATGCTTGGGTGCTGCTCTAAGCATCTGGCAGCCACACCAAGCATCCAACACTTGCCTTGGACCATGCCCTGGGCAATGACCCCCTACAAGAGCTTGGAAATTGGTCTCACATTTGGCCACCTCCATCCAAACCACCAACTTCTGCTCTTTTTTGCTCCAGCTGTGGAGGAGAAGCTTTGCTGTACATGGGGAGGGGGGCTAAGGCACCCCTGAAGGACACAGTGAAGGGAGATGGGGGCATCTGCAAACACTGTACAACAGCTCAGGCGGCACAGAAGAGGTGGGAGGAGGTCCCTGGGGGCATAAAGAGCATCTGACAGCGTCTCCTGTGGCAGCTCCCGGATGCCAGCACATCTCTATACCAGCTCCTGCATGCAGAGATGCCAGCAGCACGCAGCCCACGCAGGTGTTCGGGGATGCTCTGCCCCCAGCCCACATCCACCTCCCCATTTACCCTCCTTAAGTGATGGGGAAGCTGCAGGAGACCCTGGGGTGAGCAACCAGCAAGAGAACCAAGAGCTATCCTGTCCATTCTCCACACCAAGGGTCACTCCAACACCCCACATCCCCACAGCAACCTCCAGTGGAGGGCAGGGGCTCCCTGAGGCTAGTACTGGCATGACGATTTGGCCCTGTCTGGCCCTGTTCCTGACCCTCCCACAGCGAGAGCAAACCAAGCAGTGCTAAAGAAAACCCCATCACACCCTAGCTCCAGCAACACAGAGCTGACAAACCTTCAACTGTCACTGCCCAGGGACCACAGTGTCTGGCTCTGACCCCAGGCAGCCCAACCTGACAGCACCACTGGGGCACCCTCATCTGGCCAAAACCCCACAGCGTTTCCCATGAAAAGACATCCCAAAAACGCAAAATTCTGTCACCACCCACAAGATCTCTGGTCTTGCCCACCGAGAGATCTTTGGCCAGGGTGGGGATGCCTGATGAGAATCTCTGACCTGACCAAGGACCCCTTCATCTGGCTGGGCATGGGGAAGGGAATTTCTGTACCGAAATGCATCCCGGTGCCGCGTTTACCGTGCCAGAGAGGACCAGGTGCCGGAGGGTGACCCAGTGGATTAAGGCACGCTCCCGAGGCTCAGCTCACATGCACAATGGTGGTAAAACACGACTCTGTCCCTGCAGAGCCTCCCTCCTTCCCTCCCACTTCTCTGGGATCAGCTGCGCCTTGCCACCGATCCTCTCCCCCTTCTGCTCAGTCATCCTCTCCTGACTTCCCATTTAACCCCCTCGGGAGCGGTGGGGGGGGGGTTTCAGGCTGGCAAAGGCGTTCCTGTATCACCCTTGCAAATCAGATGCCCCCAGATAATTCACGGCCACCCTGCCTTGGTGAAAACCACAGGCAGTTCCCTGCCCTGCCGAGCCAGCCCCACCTCCATCCTCCTCTTGCAACCACACCAAAAGAAAAAAAAAATTAAATAAAGAATAAATCTTTGTTCCGGCCCCGCACATGACATCAGCCCGAGCAACCGCTGGGCTAGCGCGCCAGCTGAATAGCGATCGTTTGACATAATCCCTCTGCTCGGCAGTCATCTAAGGGAACAAACCCACCCTGGCAACGGCACAAGATTTTTTTTGTTCCATCTCGGGGTCCAAGGTCTCCGCGGGATGCCAGGGACAGGCACTGATGGTTTAACGAGGACACAAGGTCGAGAGGCGGAAACCCACTTACCGAAACTTTACGAACACATTCATAGTCCAAGCTGTCATTTTTAAAGGCTCTAGCTTTATTTTAAACATCGCGGCTGTCCGCAGGCGGCGGCAGGTGCTGTGTGCCCGGCCGGGAGGCACTGGAGGGCGGGAGGAGGGCGGCGGGGCAAAAGGTGCTGGCTCGTGCCGGGGATGCCGCCGCCGCCAAGGGATGCTCTGCTGGCGAGTCCCCCCCTCCACCTCCTCCGGCACACCCAAAGGGCAGCTCTTCGCCAGCCCGGCGGCCGTGGTTGGCTCTGACCTCGCTCCCAGGATGGCTCCGAAAGGGCTCCTCCGGTCGACGCTGTGCCGCCGGGGAGCTGCCGTCCTTTGTGTGCTTCCCAGCCGCGCACGGAGAGACCCCTTCAATGGAGTCACTCGCCGTGCCGTAATTTTCCTTTTAATTGGTTTCTTGACGCTTTCTCGTTAAACAGACAGATTAAGACACTTCTGCTTAATCCGTCAGTTCCAGCATTCCTCTTCTCCGCTGCCACAAGGCACCCAGCCGCCTGGTACCGTCACGTCCCCCACGCAGCCCTCTCCAAGGAGCGCAGGGAGCGCAGCCAGGAGCCCCCCGGTGTCCCCAGAAACGACTTTGCTGACGCCCAGGGCTGAGCACCCGCCAGGCGAATCGGGTAGGGAGAAAAGTAGGGCGGCGTTGATATGGAAAAAAGTCACGTTAACCAATGTGCACCTCCCCAGCTTTTCCCGTTCGGATGCATGGGGGTCCCTGTGTCCCCCTCACCGGCCGCCGGCACCGGTCCCCCGGCAGAAAGGGATCTGAGTGCCGCATTCCCGCCCGGCGTCCCGGGCTCCCCGTGGCGGCAGGGCAGCGGGACGGGGACGGTGCGTCCCCCGAGCCCACGGCGCAAAACCTACTTCTGAGAAGTCACCTTCAGGCACGCCAAAGAAAGCTAATGCCACCGCGTCCCCTCGTCTGTCACCGTCACTCGCAGGCCACGGAGAGCATCCTCTCCAGACGCGCTACACCGAAACTAGGCAGCCGTACTGGGGGTACCACCAGAGTAGCTCCTGCATCCCACCCGCGGCAAGCGAAACAGCCGGGCGGGCGACAGCCCCCATCCCGCCGTGTCCCCAGGGGCTGGAGTCCCGCCGGGCTCCGAGCCGCCCGGGTCCGGCCAGGCGCGGGTGCCGAGGCAGCGCATACCTCTCGGCGCGGCTCCAGAAGAGCAGGATTGCCGGCATGGTAGCGTATCCCGGGCTCAGTCAGGGAGCTGGTGGGGATCTTGTCGCGCCGGGGCAGGCAGAGCCACCCGTGCCCGTGCTGGATGGCAGTCTCAGGCAACCAGGCAGCAATGTCATGACTACCCGCAATGAATCATCCCCTCCCCGAGCCCCCACACGCACCGCCCGCCTCCCCCTCCCCACCGACAGCCCCACTGGGGTGCCGGCACCTGCGTGGGGACGGGGTTAACCCTCCCCTCGCTGCCTCTGCCAGCACAGCCCCCGCTGCCAGCCCCGCCGGCGGCCGCCTCCTGCGTGGGCACGGCGCAGGACCCCCGCTCAGAATGTCCCCAGAGAGGGTCCCAGATCCTCACAGCCACAAAGTGCTGTCTCCTGCATGCAGATGGTGTCAAGTACCACTTGAGATCACCCCCGACAGGGTCCCCCATTTCCCAGACTATCTAGTGCTGCCTCTTGGGTGGACATGGGGTCAAGCCCCTCACAGTGTCTCCCCAAGTAGGTTCCCCTCTTTCCAGCCATGCTCGGCTGCTCACAGTTATGTGGAGATAGGGTCAAGCCCCCCCCGTGCTGCCTCCCCATGTAGGGTACCCCAATTCCAGAGTCACCAGGATGCTCACAATGGCATGGGGATGGGGTTGCACCCCCCCACTGCACAGATCGCCACCCCATGCCCCCCACCCAGCCCCACTGTGGGGCTAAGAACTTCATGGGGATGGGGTTTGTCCCCCTCCCAAGCCCAGAGGCGCTGTCCTTTTTAGGGGCTGTCACA